TGAGCTGCCAGCACCGCTGGTGCCACCGCACGCCAGCCGCAACTCTCCCTCCCGGCAGTGCCAGGCTCCGTCCGGCCCCGCGGCGAGAGCGGTGCCAGCCCGGCTGCACCCCAGAGGCTGCAGGGATTAGGGCTGGGACCGGCTCATCCGTCGCACCGGGACAGGGATGGGGTGCGCCGGGCGGTGGCTGGGCATGCCCCGGGACGGTGCCCGGTGCGCCCGGGCATCCCCCGGCATGCGGTGCGGCGCGGTGCCAGCTCCGGCTCTCTCCACCTTAAGAAACCCGTCCCTCCCCGCTACCTTCACACCCTCCGCTCCGCTTCCCCTCTGGCAGCCGCCGTGCAACGTTTTTATCTGTCAGCCAGGTTTCCTGTTTGCAAACCTCACGCTTACGGGTGTCGAGCGGCCGGGGGACATCGGCGAGGGGGACATTGGCCACCTGCGGCTCGTCCTACCGGGTCCTGGCCGCTCCTCGAGGAACCGAGGCACTGGAAACTCCGGGAATTGCCTGTGAAAGGCCTTTTCCAGCTCCTCTCCGCAGCCGGCCACAGGGACAGCGTGGGGGGATTTCTCAAGAGACCTTGGGAGGAAGAACGCAAAGAGTTTTTCTTTTTCTGAGCCGCAGCCGGCCGGCGGCCAGATCCTGCCCCAGCTCCCTGGAAAACGCCAGGACTTTGAGGAAAAGCCTGGCACTGCCAGGGTTTGCTGGAGGAAGGCTGGAGCCGTGCGCGGTGGCACCGGGGGCCCGGACCCTTGCACGGAGGTAAGGGGTACCAGCTCCCCCCGGCATGATGGGGTCAGGGTCTGTCCCGGTGCAGGGGGGGGTCAGGGAGTTTCGGGGTCCTGCGGTGCTTTTTGGTAGTCGGACGCTGGGGAGCGGCTGCTGCCACCTGCGAGGTCATTTCTTTGGGAGCCCATTTTTCCGGCCGGCTGGTGCCGGGGCGTTTGCTCGGTGCAGCCGCCCAGCCCAGCCCCAGCACGCAGCCAAAGCCGGGCTGGTTTTCCCGGCAGAGAGCTGACCGGCAGTGGGATGTGGTGGGACGGCAGGCAGCCTCCCCCGAGGACGGCGCGTCCCCCGCAGCCCGTGAGCTCAGCCGTGCCTCAGTTTCCCCTCCCTGCGAAAGCAGCTCGGCAGCACGGTGTGAGAGGGCTGTCCGGCAAGGGACAGAGGGGATTGGCTGCTTGCGGCCATCCCCAGGGATGCGCTGTGACCGTGGCCGGCGTCTTGG